CTGAGGGACCCCCCAATGTGGGGGCTGAGGGACCCCCCAATGTGGGGCTGAGGGACCCCCCAGTGTGGGGCTGACGGGGCTGAGGGGACTCTCCCGTGTGGGGAGCGTGGGGGCTGAGGGACTCCCGCGTGTGGGGCTAAAGGGAACCCCTCCCGTGTGGGGCTGAGGGAGGGAGGCGAGGGATCCCCGAGGCAAAAAGAGTTCAGGACTTCGGCGGTGCTCGAGCTGTTCGGGGTCACAGTGTCCTGCCCTGCCCGGTTCCCCCTGCCCAAAAGAATCCTCTACCCTGTGCCCTCTCCTTCCCTCCGGCCGGGACAGGCGAAGGGAATAGACAAGGGAGAGCCACGAGCATCCATCTGGAGAGCAGCTTGGTGGGGAGGGAGAGTGGTGGGGGAAATGTCTCACGCTCTGGTGCCAGAGCAGGAGGGGGGTTTGCCTGTGGTTGATTGTGCCGAGGGTTTAAATTGAAATGTTCCCTGTGTGAGGGTTTGTAAACGGGGGAACCTCTGCCAAGAAAAAAGGAAGGGGAAAGAGGAAGGGGACAAGGTGGTCCAGCCCCTTCACCCTTCCAAAAAATCACCGCACACGGAGAAAACCACACCATGTATTCACAGACCGGGGAGAAAAGAGGAGTAGAAAGCCTTGGGAGAAAGCTATCCATAATCATGGGGATTTTTCTGCCGTCAGCTGGGGAAAGCCGGCTATACTCGGTTCTGTACGGAGGCAGTTTCCAGATCTGTGCTTTCTAAAGGCTGGTGCATAAAGAGGAAACAGATGGGATCTATTCCCAGTGTGGAAAGTCTGTGGACTGAAACCTAAAGATCAGTTCCCAGTGCCGTGTATTGTGCTCAGCTTCGGCTTTGAAGGCTTGAAATAGAAATGGTTGTTAGTGGCGATTCTTTAGGAAGCTTTTCAAACTGATGCCACAGGAGGAGACAAATGAAGCTGTGAAAATCCGCACAGCACACCGGGGAGCTTTCTGCCATTGAGCCGGTAATTGTAATGAGAGGTGTTACTCAGTCCCAGAAATAAATAAATAATAAAGAAAGAACCGGGTTTTACAACTGCACGGTCTGTTTCTATTCAGTTCTCATCTGCCCTCTGCGTTTGTGGACGATAGGGACGACACAATGATAGCTGCAGAGGACAAAGCTCTCCTATTCACACATGCTCACCCTGCCACCTTTGGAAAGTCTCTGGAATACAGCAGCACATTCATGGGATGTGGTAGAGAGCGGAGAGGCAAGTCCCTTCTACCTATTTAGGACGTGTTTTGTTGGGTTATTTTTAAACACACTTGTGAGATCAAAAGTCACGTTAGTGCAAATAAAGTTTTAGACGTGGAGCGGATTATTTGAAAGTGTTATTTAAAGTGTATCTATGAAATAAATTTGAACTTGAATTCCTCCCCCACCCCTTCTCTCTCTGCCTGTCCTCCTACCCCAGGACAGGCAGATTCCCGTTTCTGAAGCCCATATTAAGGGCTGAAATTATTAAGGAAAAAAAAAAAAAGACATTTTGAGAGGATTCTTTTTATAGACACAGCTCTTGCCAGGTTGTGGTTGTTCGGTTTTTTTCAGCCTTCAGCATAAATCTTTCACTGAATGAAACATCTCTTGGCTTTGTTTGTGGTGAAATCAATGCAGACTTTCCTTCCACAGGCAGAAACTTCAAAATTAAGGGAGCAGGAGATCACCTCATAAGAAACTTGTTTTCCAGAGGTTTAAATAATTTTATCAATGTATAGATAATTCATTTTCAAATAGTAAATTAATATTTTTTAACTGAAGAGTGATAGAAATTAATTTATATCTATCTAGCTAAGATAACTGCAAAGTAATTCTTTAAAGCATTTAAAATGTAAGCCGAATCTGATAACTTCTAAGACAGAGCTAAACTGAAATAGGTTTTTCTTGAATGATGGTGAAATCTGAGGTAAGTGCAAGTATGCAAAACTATTCTTCAGGTAAGGTATTGTATTTTTAGTATACTCTCCAGTCACCAGAGAAACTTAAAACCGTGACAAGACTATAAAACAGGCAAAAGCAGAATGTTTTCCCCTTTTACAGCCAAGGGTTGGACTGGTCAGATGACTCCAGAGAAGGGAAACTTCCTGCATATCATTAAAGCTACTTTTATGCCAAATGGTTATGATAGTGTTAAAAACCAAAAAAAAAAAAAAAAAAAAAGCACTTGAAAACTCCTATGAAGGGGAATATTTTATTGGTTTGTCATTAGCAAGAGGGACTGTGTTGTGAAGGCATGTTTTCTGCAACTATATATTAGTCAAATGACTGGTTTGCATTATATGTAGCATGAGGATAAAACCCATTGCTGTGAAAAATCCAGCAGCTGTTTTTCAGCTATTTTGGGCACAGAGCTTTGGATCTTTTTGAGGGAAGTGAGACCGTCTCAGAAATGAGAACATATTGCCAATCATGAAGGAATATAATGGTTTTGTGCCTCTGTGTATCAGTATCAAAGAGTTTTTATTTAGGAGCTTTTCCTGCTCTTTTCCAAAAGACTCACATTCCCCTTTGAGATTTCCAGTTCCTGTTCTGGTTTTTTTTTTTTTCCTAGAGATAACATATGCTTGGAAAATTAGATTAATGTAATCTTTCTATCTGCCTAAATGCCACAAACTGTGTCCCGTGTGCCTCCTTGGGGACCCTCCACAGAATAAACTCTCCAACAGGAGGTACAGGAGGTGAAGAAAATAGTCAAAAAATGAGAATGTCTGAGGAATTTTATTGGAACACCGGCTGAAAGCCTGCAAGTTCAAATTGTGGTTATCTTCTATAACATCTTATTCAAGATAAAAATATGTCATTTACATCATTTCTGTGTAGGGACAAATACACCAAGCCCTTAATCTGTTACATGTGAGACCCCATCACTTCATCTGAGTCAGGAGCAGAACCTCTTTGCTGACTTATTTTAAAGGAAGAAGTTACTAACCTGATGTAACAAAGTTGCATATCATGCTCTGTTCCCTTCCTACTGATACTTTTATTAAATCTAATGCATTTTGAAAGCTGGTTCTTGACAAGACATCTGAAAAACTAATCAGCAAAGTTGTGGTTGCCAGGAGAGGACAGGGCCAGACTCTTACAAGTTGTGTCAGTAGGAAGAACAAATTCATCTTGCTGTTACATGTTTTTTCCTCTAGAAATGAAATAATTTGAAAAATTCAACTGCATATTGTTCTTTTTCTCTCTTTTTTAACCCAGATTTTGATGGGAATAGATACAGTTGGTATCATCTGTAGTTTCAGCTTTGGTTTCGGTGATTTTGGTGATGCAACGTTTTACTTTCAAATATTTGTTTAGAACCATCTTGAAGGAGCTTAAATAGCAGGCCTGTTTCTCCAGCGCTGAGATTTTCAAAAGATGATAAGTAAAATAAAGCTAAAATTAATTGTTATGGCTTCTTAAGTGCTCAACTAAGGCACCGATGACAACACGGTTATTTTGAGGATTGCAAAAATCCTGCTCTGGCTTGGAACATGAAAAGAAAAACTTCTAAGCACTGCCCTTCCAGATTTCCTCACAGAATGCTGTACCACATTCACAGATTATCTCAGAGTCTAAAAAAATGCAATATTTGAAGTGAGGTTTTTTTAGTTGATACTTTCGTTGTACCAAAGAAAGAAAATATTTTTGTTTAGGTTTGTATCTTTCCCACAGTCTTGCTACGAAAAATCAAGAAAGGCAACACAGGCTCAGCCTTTTAATAGTGGAATGATGTAAAATGTAGACAGTAGTGAAGGTTATGCCCCTCAACTTGCAATTTTAAGCTAAAGGGGAGAACTTCTCATGGTAATTTTCCATGAGCAGAAATCCTTTTTTAAATAAAGTAAACTCTTAACTTGCAAACAGCGTGTTCTGCCTGCTGTCCATCACTGTTGAGTGAAGAGATGAAATTCTCTCCCTTTAAAAAGCAGATGTACATGTTTTTAACTTGCTTTCTTAACCCCTATCCTATCAAAGCTGGCACTGTTGTCACTTCCTCTAAGTTTAAATTTATAGATGATTCTAGATTGCCTTTCTTAGCATCATATTAAACAGGCTCTGATGTTTTACTCCTTTATAATTTGCCTTTTATCACCTGTTCCATTGATTGCAATCTCAAAGCCCTTTCAGGAAATATAATTAACTGCTTGCCACCTCTAATATTCATCACAAGGACCAACAAAAAAGAAATACAGTCCTTTTTAAGGTGGTGCTTTTTTTTTTCCATCATCTTTTGTGAGGTTTTACAATGGAAATGATAATGTTGGCCTGGGCCCACAGTGAATGACTGGAGTGGATACTGATTGCATCTGTTGGGGGTATTTTCTAATGGTTAATGAGATTTGACAGAGAACATTAAATTTAGATTCAATATTAGGAATATCTAGGTTTAGATTGGGATATTGGGAAGAAATTTTTCCCTGTGAGGGTGGTGAGGTGCTGGAATAGAATTCCCAGAGAAGCTGTGGCTGCCCCACCCCTAGAGGTGTTCAAGGTCAAGCTGGACAGAGCTTGGAGCAACCTGGGCTAGTGGAAGGTGTCCCTGGCCATGGGCTGGGATGAGATGATCTTCAAGGTCCCTTCCAACTCCAACCAGTCTGGGATTTCCCACCCCCAG